TCCAAGTGGCTTCCAACAACAAAGTAAATAGGGGAAGTCAGACTGTCTTAGCGACCGCATTATACACTTAACTACTGCAATGATTCGCTCAACAAATGGGGCAAAAAGTTCATAAAATGTGGTAAACAACTGCCTTGTTTAGATCTGGAAATTTTGGACTCAGTTGTGACCCTGAGTCAAGGACTGCTTGTAAATACTGACGACTGTCATTTTTCAACATTTGCTTCATTTTCTTGGCAGCCCTACCTGGTGTCCTTTTTGTTGTTGTTGTTCAAGAAGGAATATCCTGTTTCCCAGAAAATAAGACCTCCCGGGATAATAAGCCCAATTGGGCTTTTGAGCGCATGCACTAAAATAAGCCCTTCCCCAAAAAGAAGCCGTCCCCCAAAATATTGCAACATGGCTGCAGTCATGAGATGACCACACTCGCGGCCTCCTGCATCTCAAAAATAATAAGACCTCCCCAAAAATAAGGCCAAGTGCTTATCTCGGGGGGGGGGGTGTCAAAAGAAAATAAGACCCTGTCCTTATTAGACTTATTTTCGGGGAAACACGGTATCTATCTATTTCAGCCTCTCCAGCCTGTATCTTTCCCTTCTCACACACATGGATCAACACAGTCCTAATGCCCGAAGGGTAGCAAGTTGTGGGAACTGACAGAGATGGATGATCAGCAGTTGATGGGCGATGGTCAGAAATATTACTTACCAGGTGGGATGGTTGATCCTGGTGGTCCTGGGGGCCCTGGCAGTCCTGGGAGCCCTCGCTGTCCATCAATTCCTGCCTGTCCTGGTATAGCGATCCCAGGAAGGCCCTGATCCCCTTTCTGTCCTCTTTCGCCAGGTAATCCAGGTGAGCCTGGAGGTCCTACACTTGGAACTCCTACAGGGAGAAAAATGATTATAAAGGGGAGGTTGGTTTGGAAGGGAGAGATACATCAGATATATCAGAAGTGCTAGACGAGGAAACGGTGCACTATCTTACCTGGGGTTCCCGGTAAACCAGGAGGGCCCACGGGGCCAGGATAACCACGGTCTCCTTTGTTTCCAGGATATCCTGCTACTCCTTTACTACCCTTTGGTCCCACTGTTGTACCTGGCCTTGGAATCACCTGATGTAGCCCAAGGAGCAAAGAAGAATGTTAGTTATTTAAATATAGGGCATGAAAGAAATGGGATTCTTCCAAACTACATTGGAATAATTCCATGATTTCGACTCCAAAAACATCACCATGAATGACGCATCCCTGAAACCAAGATGGTTTATCCCCAGCATTTCAGCCGGCTGTTGTGGCCCACAAGCAGCCAGCATAGCTGGCAGCAGAGTTGGACAGTGAGAAGGTTGGGGAGCAACATGGGCCAGTCCTGGAGTCTGGGGACAACTTGGATGAGCGCTCTGCATCGGAGGCAGAAAGGGAACCAAGGCCATCTGGTAGTTATTTGCTGCCCCTGGAGCCTGATATCAGTGAGGCAGAAGAACAGCGGGAACCTGTTCCCAGTGTGCATGTGTGCAGAGCTGCCAAGAACAATTAAGAAAACAGGGTCGACTTGGGAATAAGGTTTGGAGATGATTGGCCCCTCCCATAAGACAAAAAAGCAGAGCAAACGGGGCATGAGCTTTTGCAGGAAGCAATTAGTTCATCTGGTCANTGGACAGGCAGGGGGAGGGAGCTGGAACTGGTTCTAAACAGCACTGAATATTTGTGGAACCTCTTCTATAGAAGAAGTTAGAACTGGCAGGAACCTACCCTTGATTACTTCCCAGGGTACCAAAGGAACAAATGGAGCTGACTTTGGAACTACTCTGGGCATCTTTGAAAACTCCTGGTGAGCTGGCAATTCCCAGAAGACTACCGTATTTTCCTGAAATAAGTGCTTGGCTTCAACCACCAAAATAAGTGCTTGGCCTTATTTTTTGGGAGGTCTTACTATTTTTGAGGTGCAGGAGGTGGCAAGCGTGGTCATCTCATGGCTGCTGCTGTGTTGCAATATTTTCGGGGAGGGCTTATTTTAGCACATGCGCTCAAAAGCCCAAATGAGCTTATTACCTGGGGAGGTCTTATTTTCAGAGAAACAGGGTAAGTAAAAATTGGCCCTGATCCAATCATTCAGTCAGCTTGGGACTCTGGGCCAGTTTAATTAGGAAAATTAAGTCAACCTGATTCTCTAAACAGAACCAAATTGATTTGATCAGGTTGAACTGATTACTTTTCAAACAAGGTTTTAACGCATGCCCCAAAAGTCCTTTGAAATCATTAGATCAATTTGGAAGAATTGAAGAAGCTACTTGGATAAGCAGCATTTCAACGTTTCACCGAAAAAGAAAAAGACAATCCAGTTGCCACAACTTAACTTTCAACTAACACTTTCTGGATGATTGAGAGGCTTTCATCAACCTCAATCCGGAAGCTTCCGATTTAATCTGAACTGTTAATTCGAATCAGAAAGCCAACTTGATTTGGAGATATGATTGAATCATTTTCAAAAGGAATCTCTCAAAATAAACTTTGCACAATCCAAAGGAGGAAACTTGTGAAAACATAAGAAATAGTGATGCTTTCCTGAGGGCCTCCAGATGTTATTGGTGCTCCAAATATTAGGTCCTTTCATTAGGTCCTCTTTAAAGAGGCAGCCTGATTGCCAAGCATCCAAAAGGCCGTTATATGACCAAGGCAGGGGGGATATGTCGGATAGCCATTTGTTTGAAGTGGTGTAGGGATTCCTGCTTAAGTAGGGGGTTGGACTAGAAGTCCTCCAAGGTACCTTCCAACTCTGTTCTTCTATTCTAAATACTTCAAATCAGGGTCATAAGTACCCCCACTGGTAAGTACATCAAAACTTTTAATGATCACTAAGTGACCAGTCATAAATTGAGAACTCCCTCTATAACTAAGCTCCTCTGGGGATGGGCATAGACCAGTGATGGCGAACTTTTCGGCACCGAGTGACCAAACTGGTAAACACAGGCACATGCGCACACCGGAGCACCAGAAATGGGAAGGCTGGTGGCCAGTGTGCATATGTGTGCTGAAAACTAGAAGAGCAGTTGGTGATGGTGCGGGTGCCCACAGAGAGGGTTCCATCTGCCAGGTCTGGCACGTGTGCCATAGGTTCGCCATCATGGGCTTTTTACCCCAATCTTCAGAAAACTCCTTTCTCCCCCAACCCCCCCCCTCAATTCATCCATTCACAGTCTCATCTGGTGCCAATTATTCCTCCTCCTAATTAAACAGAGATAATCAGAAAACTGTACCGTCAAACCTGGGGGTCCAGGAGGACCAACTGGACCATCTACACCAGAGGGACCTGCAGAGCCCTAGAAGAATAGGAGAAATTATTGGATGAGTCTGGCCTTTAGAATGCACATCCATCCATCTATCCATCCATCCATCCATCCATCCATCCATCCACCCATCCATCATTCATCTATTGATCATTCTATTTATCTATCAATCGATCTATTGATCTATCCGTTGATCTATCTTTTTATCTATGTATTATCTATCTATCTATCTATCTATCTATCTATCTATCTATCTATCTATCTATCTATCTATCTATCTATCATCTACCTACCTACCTACCTACCTACCTACCTACCTACCTACCTACCTATTGAGTTATCCATACCTACCTATTGAGTTATCCATTGATCTATCTTTTTATCTATCTATCTATCTATCTATCTATCTATCTATCTATCTATCTATCTATCTATCTATCTATCTATCATCTACCTACCTACCTACCTACCTACCTACCTACCTACCTACCTACCTATTGAGTTACCTACCTACCATCTAGCTAGCTAGCTAGCTAGCTAGCTAGCTATA